AGCCTGGCTACTTTGAGCATTCAGCACATACCTCTATGACTGCTGGACTTCTTGTAATTCTTCTGTACTTGTGAAAATATAAAATGCATTAATATCCAGATGCACTCTAATATAAGAGAGGTTAAAAAAAAAAAAGATACAAGTCTCATGGTCTTGCACAAATGTCAACTCTAAAATAAACTAACCAAAAATGTTCCTGATGAATGTGTCAAGTGGACAAGTATACTAAAGTTAGAATTCAGTTGGTTCATACCAGCACATGATTACATTTTGATATTAAGATTAATACCACTATAAAAAAGGGACTACATTAAGAGGTAGGTAGGTAAGGACTTGATTACTCAAAAAAAAGTTTTGTGGAACAATTGTATTAACATGGCTTCAACTCTTATACATAAAGATGTGCAGGCTAAACAAACGCAGAAGTGGCCACACACTAACACTGCACGTTAAAATTAAACCACTTCACTTCTGTGTAGACAATTTCTTCCAATAGAAAAACAGCCCAAGAGCTAGACTATACAGATGTTCTTCCAGTCCTGTGGCTGGAGTTTCCTAGGCAAGCTTTCCAGCCAGGGGACATGCAAGGGCCATCCCTGCATTTAGGGAAACCCACTACTTGATGGCCTGACCTCTTATCTTCCTGAAAAGCAGCAGCTGCCACAGACATAAGGGAAGGCTCCTACCCTGGGAGAATGCGCCTCCAGCCCACCAACCAACTGACTGGAAGGGGAAGGGGTCACTGTCCCAGGGTAGGCCTGTTGATTTTCCCCAGCACAGTAGCCTGGCTCCTTGCACCGGCTGACCTGGAGAGGCAGGCAGGACACTTAACCACCACAAGGCTCTTTAGGCCCTGCCACAGGAGGGGCACAGCAGCCTGCCTCACCCTGCACTACTCTGGGCTGACTCAGAGCACTTCAGGGTGAAGCAGGAGCATTTTACTGCCAAGCCTAGCTGCTGAGTCTCTGCAGCCTGCCTCACACTGCTCTGCAGCAAGGGGAAGCCTGTGGAGCCAGGAGCCAAGTTTGGGAAAAGCCTCCACAGGCCAGGCACTCACCCCCTCTGGATTTTAAATCACTGCCCTGCTGCTCAGCTGAGTGGCAAAGGGGACAAAGGGAAGCTGGAGGGGCTGAGATCCAGGCTTGGGAGGCTTTCCCCCAAGCCCAGCTCCAGACTCCTCCAACTTTTAAATTGCTGTCCCCACAGCTCAGCTGAGCAGGAGGGTGAGGTCCCCAGGAGCAGTTATGCTTGGGGAAAATGTGCAGATGTTCACGCGAAAAACTCTCTGGGAGCAATTTAGGCCTGGGCATCATGGCATTTTTCTCCCCAAACAGCCATTTTTGCTCCAGGAGAAAGAGTGTGATCACCTGCACACTTTTGTTTTCTACCAGGAGAACAGTGAGTCTCCCAATATAAACTGAACATCTGTAAGCAGCTTCTGATAGCTGAGCCTACAAAAACCAAACTCATGCAGCACAATTCCAGTACAATGGGAAGGGAATAATGTGTAATTCATGAAGCATGCAGTGAAAACTCTTTTCCCAACCCTCATAGTTACTACAAAATACAATGTTTGTCTTGACTTGGCAGGGTGTTTTTTTTAATGCTCCCTAAACCTAGATACTAGCAGAGATCACCACCCTAGTCATCTAAATGCAAAAGACCACAACAGCACTGCTGCCAGCTATCCTAAAGGGATACAAAAGGAACCAGCAGCCAAGAGTTGAGTTCTCCTCTATCAAAAGCCAGGAGAAAAAGACCTTCATATTTCCTTAACCACATCTAGATCAGACTTATTTTCCAAATACTCCACTACCCTAATTGATTTTTGGTCCAACTTCTCTCCCACTTCTTCCCAGTTTTTATTCTACCCGTCTCATTCTGCCTACCACCTATTGCCCCCACCACCGTCTTTCCCCATCTCCCTTCTCTACAAATGATTCTTCACAATGATCCTCTTCCTCCTTCATGTTTCCATTCATCCGCAGGACACCATGATAAAAAGTTAAAACCTGCATAACAGGAAATATATTAACAACCACCATAACAAACTGAATTCTACGTATATCCCTTTAACTCACTCTCAACGTGTTTTTGAATCGAAGACTGTTCATATAAATTCATAAAACAGTTTCAAAACCAGCCTAGTGAGGCACAAGAGTTTATCAGAAGCACCATCCATTATAATAAATTGAGAAATTATGAAAACTGAAACGCTTAGATATACCAGATATAGTATTAGATCCAGTACCCTAAGCCTAAACGCCTGAAAACTGTTGACATTTTAAATGCTGTCCAAACAAATACTATATTTTAAAAACACATCAAAGTGGATGAACAGTAACTGATTTTTTTTTCACTGAATCTTCTGTGAATACTTGAACATCTACTGCTATAATGCTATTTTGTTACTTTTTACAGCAACAGGTCTTAGTAAACCAGAAAAACTCTTCGTATAGCCTATATATTAAGAGTGCTGAAATTACCTTTTTTCTTCCTCCAGCTTACCTTTATACAGCTGTAAGGAAAACAAGAGATTCTGTACACACTGGTGCTGTATGAGAAATCTCACAAGTGTATGGAGGTCAGAAAACCAAAGATGTGAACCAGCTCTAAAAGACAAGTCAAGTAACTCAAAAGAATTCCTAAGCAGATCCAGAGAACAGGGAGCTGAATTAAGTAATAATGATTTAGAACTATGGAATTTCTTGTGGCTTAATGATTAGGTGAGATTTGAGGGCCTGAGGCACAGCCAAAGGCCATTAACCCCCAAACATTTGTTAATACCCTAGGAAGTGCCCTGCACGTCTATAATTAATGCTATTTGTGGGAAAAGAAAAAACTGGGTTGGAAACAGGCAAAATGCATGTGCAGGTTGTTTTTCTAGAATGGGGAACTTATTTCCAAGTAATTACCTTGCCTGAGTCATGTCAATATTTTCCTTTTAGTAAATTTTAAGGATTTAAAGACTCATTGGATAATAGTTGATAACTAAAGATGCTTCCTGACAACCAGCTAAGTCACTACATTTCCAGTTTTAAAAAAATCGTGAAATTAAAAAAAATGAAGATGATTTTTAGTCGAGATAAAATCACCTGCTTATCATAACACAACTTGTGTGAAATGGTGAAAGAAAAACTGAAATTGGAGTGTAAATATATAGTTTTGTTTAAAGATATTAATATTTTTGTATAAAAATATTAACTGATTTTTTGTCAGCTACTTCCTTCTTCTTGCAACTATTAAAACAAAAACAAAAAACCCATTGTACCCAGCTCCTTACATGTTACCCAAATTCAATTCACATTTGCTTCCACTGCTAACTTCAGTCCAAGCACTAACAGCTGTCTTGGATTATACATTATATTGAAGAAAAATGTTATCTGAATTTTGAAAATGTTTTCTTCACAGTGCTCCATTCCCTTCATTTTCTGTTCTGTTTCTTCCTTCTCACAACCCCAAGATACTTTTAGGTTTATTTCAGTTCTCTGTCAGTTTGATATTGTAAGCTGGCCAGGGTAGTGGCTCATCTTCACACTGTGCAACTGTGGACACTGTATATAGGGTGGAAAGTGAGGAAAATGTAATAATCGTCTTGTATGTCCACAAAACAGATTCTAACTGTGTGAATCACCAGAACAAGAAATTGCTCGCATTATAGTATGCATGATCCAAGCTTCACTGGGCTCCTCTCAACTTCATCCTCAGTGAGTTCTATGCACCTGCAATCCTTCCTCTTTCTTAGTCGAGGCACAAAACAGTCTATATTGAGATTTACTTTATTCTCACAGAGCAACCGAGTCAAACCTTCATCACAAATGAGATAGTTAAGACCTCCTAGATGCAAAGTTCCAAAATTTGGTTGTGTCCTCAGGGTATTACTGAAACTGTCTGGAGAGTTACTGGCTCCATTAATTTTATGAATTTACAAGACAGTTCAAAACTGAAATGCACCCATCAGTTTTAAGACATGAGCCTAATTTTAGTCTTCTGAAAGTCAAATACTGCACTAGAAACGCAATATATTGCTGCCTTTGGTAAATCTTAAGTTATACAACAAAAAGCCTGGAAGAAACTGAACCAGGGAAGTTTTGCAGATATTCAGAGACCAAAAATCAGAGTTCACATTTACAGGAATAGAGATGAAGACCATTACCAATAATTAAAACTGAAGGCCACTGACAGATGTGGAAAAGTAAACGCAAAACAACAACACTCCCTCTGCCCCACCAAAAAAACCCACCATACCAAAAACAGAGCTTTACTGAAAGAGGAGACGTGTCAGTTTGACCTGACTTGCCCAGCATCTGTATAGACTGCGCGCTTTGGCGGAGGTTTTTGCCACTTTTATCTAATAGCTGAATCAGCTAAAAGTGCTGAAAAGCCCCACCAAAGCACACAATCTCTAAAGACATTAGGCAAGCCAGGTCAAGCTGACATGATGCCTCTTCTGGGCATGCGCTGCACTCAGCATGGGGGCACGCTGCGCTGAAAATAAAGCACTGTTTTGGGGGGATGGGGTGGGAGGGATGGGGTTCATGTCTGGAAGCAGCCTGGAGGCTCAAATCCCGCAAGCACTTACACATGTGCACAGCTTTACCCATGCAAGGAGTTCCACTGAAGCCAACCATGGTCTAGTTGCATATAAATTTAAAAGAAAAAAAAAAAAAATTTTAATTGGGTTTCTTCTGAAGTAAATGGAACAACATGGTAAAAGAACTGTTAAGTATACTTGTTACGTCACAAATTTGATTTTATCAAAAACCTTATTTAACAAAATTGCAAACTTCTATTCAGTCTTGGGAAAGTGTGTGAAGAAAGAAATACAAAACAATATTACAAAACTGTATTTTGTACAGTATGGTATATATTTTTTTTATGAATTAAAGCATAATTTAATATTCAAACTTGTCAGGAAAATAGATCAATATACTGTTAAAAAAAATTAAAGAAAAAATATTTCTGCTACATTATCCACTCCACTTAGACAACAATATTACCTGGTTATCATATTTCAGAGACTGCGTCCCAACCAAAAATCGTATTGCATCTGTTTCTGCTGTCTGAGGTGTCAAAGCACGTGCCTAAAGAAAATAAAAAAGCCATTATTATAATACTACAATGTACAGGACATGCCCAATATTTTTTGAACTTACAAGATGCATCAATTCACACATTAAATACTTCCCTATCCTTAATCTGTTTTGACTATTTATGCATGCCTTTTAACATGTGGATTTTTTCTCATGTTTGTGAAGTGTATAATTCTGATGCTATACCAGTTGTGTGTCATAAGGGACCATATTAAATGTAAAGCATGCTTTTACAATTTCTACACTAGATAGCCATTAGGCCTGTGTGAAGCAGCAAGTATTCGCTTCGGATTTGGATTTGGCTGATTCGGAGGGACAGTGATTCAATTCGGAGATTTGAATCCCTGTCCCAATTTGATTTGGCCAAATCAGATCCGAAAATTTGACACTGCTTCGGAGATTCGGCCATAGACTAAACAGGCAGCAATCCTCACCATGCTGGACACAACTGCCTCCAGCTGGTAAGTCTGTTGTAGTGGGTGGAGGGCAGAGGGAAGGGATTCGGGCTGGGGCTGGGGCAAGCTGCCCAGCCGGGGCAGGGGGGCACAGGACATGTGCATGGCAGCACTGGGAGCGGGGGCTATGCCCTGCTGTTGCTTGCCCAGCAGGGCGGGTCAAGCAGTGGCAGTGCCCACATCCTGTGCCCCACTGCCCTGGCTGGGCAAGCGGTGGGCTATGCCCTGCTGCCGCTTGCCCAGCCAGGGCAGGGGGAGAACAGGGGTGGGGGCAGGATGTGGGCACAGCAGTGCTGGGAGCCCTGGTGCTGCTTACCCACTTCCACCCAGAGTGAGCCATGCCTGTATCATGCCCCCTCCCCACAGCTGGGCAAATGGCAGTAGGTCATAGCCCCCACTCCCGGCGCTATGGCACCTGCATCCCATGGCCCCCTGCCCCAGCTGGGCAGCTTGTCCCAGCCCAAGCCTCAATCACTACCTAACTGTGGGGGCATTGATCTGCCCGCCCCATGCCCCTTCCCTCCCCACCCTGCCCACCACAACAGACTTACCAGCTGGAGGCAGCTGTGTCCAGTGTGGTGAGGACTGCTGCCTGTTTAATCTATGGCCAAATTTCCAAAGCAGCAATAAATCTTTTCCAAATCAATTTGGAGGCTTCCAATTCAATTTGGACCTTTTAACTGGTCTCCCAATTAAATTCAGATTCGGAGATTCAGACGCCAAATTGGGCCAAAATTTCCTCTGAATCATAATCGGATACTGAAGCTTCACACAGCCCTAATAGCCATCTATGTATGTGCCACCTCCTCATTCAGAGAAAGTGTAAGTGGGGGGGGGGAGGAAGGAGGGAGTAAGGAATGTCTACAACACTGCCCTACTAGGGATGTAAATATTGTTTAAATAAATTACCTGTTTAAACTCCTCTAATGATATCAGTTAAACGGTTAACCAATAATGCACCCATCAGGTCTCTTAGTCCTCTCTCTCCTTTTCGTCCCTCCCTCCCAAATCACAGGTGCACTGCAGGGAGAGGAAGCAGAGTGGCATTCTACGACAGGCAGTAGGACCAGCCGCAGTGCCTACCTGGCTACCTTCCTGAGATACCGCGCCGATTTCCTACCCCACTAGACCGCATCCCACGCTAAATGTTAATTGTAATGCATTACTGGTATAAACAGACTTGCTGGTTAACATTTCACATCCCTATGCCCTACCACACCTTGAAGAGCAGCTGAGAAGCATGCCTCACTCTTGCTCCGAGTGAATCAAATCCTGGATTTGTAAGGATTTGTGAGTGTAATGATGTAGTGAGGACCAGCTATTCTGCACTATTTTCCTCATGTCAACAAGCCACAATAATGTTGCTTAATGCTGTGATAATATCATATTAAAAAAACTGCAGAATTTGCATTGCACCTGATCTGAAACAGCCCAGATCTGTGGATTATACCAGCATGCTACAAGGCTTATATTTTTAAGGCTCATTTTCTAGTAACTTGAAGCAGTGAGAGAGAATGATTGTATTCTTTTCTTGGGCTATTTTTCAAATCCTGAGATAACTAGATGCTATTTTGTTTTGTAACAGTCTTATTCTAATCAATTATAAAAAGATGCTGAAAATTTTGGAGACATGTTTTAAGCCTATTAAAATAAAATAGATAAAACAATGAGTATTTTGAATAGCATTTGAAAAGATCAACTTAAATAGTCACTGAATAAAGTCTATCTAGAGGGTGCAATCAGATTGGATCTGTGTTTCTGAAGCAATTCTGAACTTCACTGAATGAATAAACATTTCAGACACTAGATGGAACAATGATTTACATCCAACACAATTTTTCACCTAGACAATACGTGAAATGAGTTAATCAAAAACTAGCATCACCATGAACATTTATACAGATAATAAAAAAATCAATAAAAAAAATAATGCAATTCAACTGGCAGTTTTTGTTAAAAACCAACACAGTGGTGTATCAATAAATATTAGCATAGACAAATCTACACAACGTAATTTAACTACCTGCACTAGGCACAGATGAAGTCAATGGGTACGTACAGGCATTACAATTAGATCAAGCTAACCAGGTTTAACTGGATCTAAATGCCCACCTCATATAGGCATACGGAGAGTTTAATTTGACCCAAAAAATGGCATGCCTGATTCAGGTTAGTTCACCTAAGGACATGAACTAACTTAGGTAGAGAAAGGGTTAACCTGATGTAGGAAGGGGCTCACCTGGCAAATGCCTGTGCATGTTCAGGTATATCCCCTGACCCTAATTGGGCTGTTTTTACCACCCCAACCCCTACAAACTAGCCAAGTTCTCTACACACCTGCAGACCTGCCAGCCCCACACCCCAAGTTACTTACTTTGGGCTGCACACACTGCTCCCAGCAGCAGCAGATGACTACCTGCCACTCCTGATCTAGGCTCAAAGCAAGCCTTCTAAACCTAGACCAGGTGTGGCAAATGCTCGTTTGTACCAAATGTAGCTAATCTCCAACATTCAGAGACTATATGCCAGAAAATAGGACGGTAACCAATTAAAAAATAAAAAAAGTTGTGCTGAACTCAAGTTTACTTGTAGATTTTCCCACAGCTATGGCAAGGACTCCTTTTCATTTCATGTTGCCTTTAAGTGATTTTCAATGAATCACTAGAAATAAACCAATAGTTAGCCATCTCCTTCAAGCAAGTGGAGCCTCTGTTTCTATAACTGGAGCAGAACAAAAGACTTCTTGGATCTTTGATATAATAAAGGTGTTACAGATAAAAGTGGCTTCTTACAAATAATCTCTCAAGGGAGTCTTACCTTTTTGGAAGCAGAAGCATATCACTTTCTACAGGTTACCCTCATTCATAACAAATAGAACATGCATCTGGATTTATCACATTCTGAATTGTTACTGGAGGCTCACCAGCATCTGGGAATGCTCAATTCTTAAGATTAATAGTTAAAATTACTTTTTGGACTTTCAGAGTCCAAAGAAGCTGTGGGTGTACTGCTGCTGGAATCAGTGGCAGATGCAAAGACGACAGAGCCTGGGAAAGAAGGAAGACCAAGGGCTGGGATATATCACATTCTGTGACAGAATACACATCTTTGTCACAGAATGTGGTATACTTCATCAACACACTCAATGACTTTATGGAAAGTAGGTGGGTGAAACTAAACAACCGCTATGCTGCAGAACGAAGACACAGAAACAAAAAGGTCAGACATATCCAGTCACCTGTGGGGCTAGGATCAGGCATTACACAAACTGGTTTAAGTGATCAGAAACTGGTTTAAACCCACTGCCCCCTGGGTACCACAGCTGGGGCCTGCCCACCGAGTGCTGCTCACTCTGTGCACAAGACAAGCGACAGAATAAACCCCTTCCTGCTCCCTCTGATGCACACCAGAGGGAGGGGGAAATAACCCCACTGTCTGTCCCCCTGCCTAAGAGGCCCTGCTGGCCAGTGCCTGGCCATGCCCCCACCCTGCCACTGGAGCTGTGAGGGGGCAGCACCCCCTGCCATGGTATACCATAGCGCAAGCCTCTTCTGGGAGTTAGAGCTGCCACAAACTGCACAGGGCTAATAGCGGCACCAGGGTGCAGAGGGGACCATAGCCCACCAACCCCCTCCCCCCTCAAAGTGCTGCCGCCACCATGTGCCCACACAGTCCATGGCAGCTTTCCCTGCCCACAGCATGGCCCCCCCATACTGGGAAGAGGCTTGCACTCTGGGACACCATGATGGGCCAGAGCCCCCACCAGGGTCACTCATCCCTTGCCGCTGAAGATGCCAGGTGGGAGCATGGTCAGATGCCGGCCTGCATGGCCCCTTAGGTGGGGGAACAGGGAGCAGGGTTATTCCCCCCTCTGCCCCTGGGGGACTGCAGCGGGGTCTGCCCACCCCGACTCCCACCACTGCTCACTCCCCGCCTGGGTCAAGCAGCAGGATAAGCCCCCTCCTGCTCCCTCCTCCAGACGCAAGAGGGAAGGAGAATAACCTCCTTCTTGCCTAGGGGGCTGTGCTAGACAGTGTCTGGACGTGCCCCCACCTCAGCTGGCAGCTACAGCAATAAGCGGGGAGTGACCCTGATGGGGGCAGGAGCCCCCGTCAGCGTCCCAGAGCGTGAGCATGTTCCTGGTGGAGGGGCCATGCTGCACGGCACGGAAAGCTGCCTCAGATTGTGTGGGCCTGGGGACCTATGGCCCCCTCCAGGCCCCAGTGCCAATGTTAGCTCCATGCAGTCCATGGCAGCTACGATCCCCACTCATGGCCCCCCTGCCAGGAAGAGGTTCGTGCTCCAGGTCACCATGGCAGGGGGTGCTGCCTCCATCAAGGGCTCTGCCCCCTCACTGTCCAGCAGCAGGGTGGAGGCATGGTCAGATGCCGGCCAGCAGGGTCCCTTAAACAGGGAAACAGGGAGCAGAGTTATTCCCCCTCCATCTGGCGAAGTGGGCAGGAGGGGATTTATTCTGCTGCTTGCCCTGTGCACAGAGTGGGTGGCGGCAGCAGCAGTCAGGGTGGGCAGACAGTA